CAGAACCAAAGTATATACCTGTCAGATATTAGCCTGCATTAGGTTGGTTCATTGTTCCAGAATGTACCTTTGCCAGAAGTCTGGAACCTTCTGAAAGTAGATTTGTTGCTTTTTTCTAGTATGTTTTCCACCTTTTGGTCCCTTCTATCCTTTTCTACTGCTCTACTGTCCCATGCCTCATCTTGGCTTCTTCCTTTCCTTCATTAACTTGTATTTCAGCCTGGCAAATCCCGTTTTGTCTTATTGCATGTTGGCGCAACTTATCTTGTAGTCCAGATCTTTTGGCAATTAAGAATAAAATCTGTTTTAATGATTGAACACAATTAAATGCTAAGTGTAGAAAAATTGGCTCAATTTGGTCTTTTAGTGCCCTCTGTTGGCTAATACAGAAGATGACTATTTTATATCTGTCATCTGAGAAAATTGAGGAAGAATGAACTTTTGGTAATTCACCTTCCTTAATTGTTGTGAGTGTAGAAGTTGTCTTTGAAGGACAGTAGAAGAGCCATTAGTAACAATCAGATAAACAAGCAAATAATTTACAAAAATGCCTCAGAATGCACCCATACAAACACACACACACATATCTCAATTCACATGAAGGTAGAAGGAAGAAGGGAAGCATGTTCAGTCCTGCAAGATTTGTTATTGTAACTTTTCTCACTGAAGTAGCTTAAGGTTTATGCAATGTCTGTTCCTTTGTCTGGTCTATCTTACAGAGCTGACAGTAATATAAAAAGTATTTGCCAGTTGGTAACGTACTCTTAGCTGCTCTGTAATCTTTTGTGGTTTTATCTAGAGAGATTTGGTAATAGCAAAGTTAGATCTAGCCATGAAGACACAAAGGAGCAAAATAACATTCAGGTTTTTTAAAAAAACACACACACACACAAAAAACCCACAAACCACAATCTCTTGTTCAACGAAATGCTACAAAGCTAGGAAATCAGAAGCTAGCACAGTATTTCCTGGGATTTGAAAACAAAATAGAAGTAGCATCTGTATAATCTATATGTTGAGTTTTATTTCTTTCATTTGTTCTTAGTAATGGAGTGGATTTACAAATGATTATTTGTCTAAAATATGAATTGCAGTTAATCATAAATGTAGATTAACTTACTGCAGCAAGTAAAAAAGATAGTGGTAATATTTTTCTTAAGAATAAGCCATAGTTGTAACCTTAAAATGTGGCTTTTGAGCCACAAAGATGTCCTAATTGCAGCTGCCCACAATGTGTAATGGCGGTGGGGGGCTGTGGCTGATGATGCACGATGATGGAACAGCTGTACTTGATTTGAACCCAACTTGTATTTATATAGGGCTTAGGCCAAAATTATATAAAAGACTATCTATTCCCGTACATAATTGCATCTTTGGCTGATCCTGCTATAGAAGTGTCAAGATTGGCTTCTACTTCTGCTTTGTTTGAGATGGGACCTAAGTTACAGGACGACCTGGAGTTGAGACTGGATTCACATTTTAAAAACTCATAAAAGGGCTTCAAGCATTTCTATTACAGAAGCCTTTTAAGTTAGAGGATATTTTTAATCCTGTTAGTTTTGAATTTTTTTAAGTGGGGTATTGAATTTTAAATTGAATTTTAGATGACGCAAATCACTTGGCATCCCAAAATGGAAGAGGAGTCATACATTTTTAAAATAAATTTATAAACAGATAAGGCCCTTTTTGTAAACATTTTATGAAGAAAGGACTAAGAAAAAGTCTTTGAACTCAAATGTGGTTCTGATCCTTTTATTGTTCAATTATCATTTAGCTTTTAGAGTGTCACTTTACCTTCAGCTCAGTTGCCATTCAGCTGTTTTGGGGACAACCAGTTCTCTGCAGCATTAAGATTGTTTCTGCATTAATTTACTCATCTGTAGCTTTTCTCTTCCTATACAAGAGCTCCCTCTACTTGAAGTTAATTGGTTTTGTCAAAGTTTGCTAGCTGAACATTTAAAATCCTTTGACTATCTTTTATTAATTGATATTGAAACATTTTAGTAGCAGGCATTATTCAAAATGGAACTTTTGGCCTGTAGAAAAAGGTTTGCTGGTCAATGACCAAAATAAAATGATTAATGTGTAAAAAGAGCATCTTATTAATATTATGCTATATGTTTATGCTTGTAAAAGTACCAGAGCAGTTTTATCAATTCCTGGATTGATCAATGTGGAAACAGTGATCTAGAGCCTAGTGTCTAGAGGAGTGATGGCAAACCTTTTAGAGACTGAGTACCCAAACTGCAACTCAAAACCCACTTATGTATCGTCGGGTGCTGGGTGGGCGTGGCCCATTGGGTGGGTGTGGCCCATTGTGTGGGCGTGGCTGCAGTAGTAATGGCAGACTGGATGGGACTAAAAAGTTCAATCAATCAATTCCAACTTTGCGAGATCTTTTTTTTCCCCGCGAGAAGTTGAAATTGATTGATTGATTGAACCTTTTTTTTTGCACACAGCGGCGGAGGCCTAAAGTGAAAAGGTTTTATAAAACCCAGCTGAAGGCCTAAGACTGGGGCGACTGTGCGCGTGCCCACAGAGAGGGCTCTGTGTGCCACCTGTGGCACGCGTGCCATAGGTTTGTCACCACGGGTTTTTTAGAGCCTAGTCCTTCAACTATGGATTATTATTTTTTTACACCCATACTAGGTAATTGTGACACAAAAAAGAAATTTTCCATTCCCAGTAGACTAAATAAAATCTTCATTATTATGGTAACTGACTAGTATTGCAAAGAGTAACAATCAGAATTCGGCAGAGCATTCAAAGGCGTGCTTTCTGTTGATGTACATAAAATTCTTCTAATCATCCAGAGAAAGAGTGATGAGAGTCATTATTAAACTGTTGTGCAAGTCTCTATAGAAAACAGTATAATAAGATATGGGCCAGTGGTTTGACTGTTTCATCATTACAGCTGCATAACCTTTTGGCATAAGAACACTTCTTAAATCTGCCCTCGAAAATTGCTGACGGTAAAATATTAGCACATAGTAGCATAAAAGCTCTGCACTATTTAGATACAGTTAATCAAAGCACCTAGCTGGTTTGACATTATTCTGTTGGCTTCCTAGCTCAGCATATTCCTTATTCTCTACGTACGATCTGGGATCCCATATCCAGGATTCTTGGTTTGAATGCAGCATTTCCTATTCTTCTCCAGTCATAAGGAATTTCCTGTCTTTACTTCTGAAAATAAATGGTCAGATCCGAACAATCACAAGTACTCTGACACCACCATCATAACCTCAATACAATAGTAATGAGGTCAGTAGAAATATGGATTAAAGAAATAATATTGCAAGATAGAAATTAAATATTTCTATGAGAGAACTTTTGTAAGATCTTTGCAGAGGCCATTCCATAGATCAGACTTGGGCATTTTGCAGCTCACAGACGACATCCAGCCAGTAGGTGGTTCTAGTCTGACCTGCATTGGTGGGGGGGGGGGCTAGGGAGTCATCATTGGCAGGGGGTGGGGCCTTGGTGGGGGGCATCATGGGGGATTGAGTGTTGGCAATGTGGTGGCAGTGTGGGTGTAGCCTTGGCAGCCCTTTACAAGAGTCCCAATTTCTCATGTGGACCTTTGGGGAAATTAATTGCCCACCCATGCTATAGGTGAACAGCAACAACATGGCTCAGTGGAAGGCCGTGTGATTTGCATAGAGGATGTTAGGCTTAGAATTAGGGAATGACTATCACTATCCTATCTGGGCTGAAGAAATCAGACTTTCCTATATCTCTTTGCTGTCCTCTAGTGATGATCTGGATGTTTGCAACCCTGATACTGTAGCCTTTGGGAAAAGAACAAAGAAGAGCAACTAAGATGATTAAAGGCCTGGAGACGAAAACATATGAAGAACAGTTGCAGTCTAGAGAAAAGAAGGACTAGGGAGGACATGATAGCAGTATTCCAATATTTGAGAGGCTGCCACAAGGAGGAGGGGGTTAATTTATTTTCCAAAGCACCAGAAAGCAAGATGAGAAACAATGGATAGAAACTAATCAAGGAGAGAAGCAACCTGGAATTGAGTGAGGACAATTAACCAGTGGGACAGCTTGCTTTCAGATGTTGTAGGTGCTTCATCACTCGAGGTTTTTAAGAAGAGACTGGACAGCCACTTGTCTGAAATGATATAAGGTTTCCTGCTTGAGCATGGGGCTGGACTAGAAGACCTCCAAGGTACCTTCCAGCTCTATTCTATTCTAGATTCTACCTTATAGTTCTGAATTCCTCTGAGAATGGCAAAAAAAAAAAAAAATTCTAGTCCTAGAGAATACTCACAGGTCAGTGTGACAATCTGGAGCTAAATTGGCCCATAATATGATTCCACTGCTAATATCTAATAGTAGGATTAAGATCCATGCCTATCTTCAACCATCATCTCCTTAGATGGTTTTGGTCAAATTATTTTCAGCTCAGGTTAACTTACAGCATTATTTTATCGAGAACAATTGGAGTGGGACAAGCATGAGCTTCTGAAGGAAAGTAATTGCTTTTGTATGTCATAATTCCCAAGATGGTTCAGATTTCGATCCTAAATAAAAATAATGGAAACAACAGGATTATCAAGACAAACTCATTATCAGTGAATGAAATCAGCATATATATCTTGGACATTCATATACATTTGTTGCTGTTTCATATTTACTGGAAGGATGGAGAGAGGTATACTAAACGAATAAACTTCTGTATAGCCCTAATGGTAGATTTAGAAGAATGGGTACAAAGTAGGTTTGGAAATCTCATGTAAGACAGAAGACGAAAAAGCTGCCTAAATCCTGAATGCTAAAAATTGAACCACACTGACCAGGATTTGAAGCAACGCCATCCAAAATGGTGGTGTAGCCATGTTTCTGATGTTACCAAGCTGAACAAGGATGACTTGTTCATTTTCTTTCCCTGCCACTTAATAATAATTGTGGCTAATGAAAATCATTGGGCTATATATAGCTGGGAACTTTCTACAAAAGTATTTTTCATCTTCTTGCTTGTTTTTCAGGATCCCTTAGATCCAACAAAGACCGCATTTGTGATCAGTTCCCTTGTGCCATGTGGAGTGGCTGAACGTGGTGGTCAGCTCTTCCCTGGTGACCGCTTAGTCTCTGTAAATGATGTATATTTGCATACTATTAGTCTAGAAGAAGCTGTAGAAGTTCTAAAATCTGTACCACCTGGTGAAGTTCATCTTGGAATCTGCAAACCCTTGGGGGTAAGTGACGTTAAATTTATGTTTTATAACTTGCATTTTCCAGGTCAGTAATGGTTAACATTTGAGCAAAAGTCACCAGGATTTTAATAGAAGCAAAATATATTTGCCATAAATTTTTTGAATGATTTATCCTCTTTCTGAGTTTTGCCATGATTGGAGGTCCAGATGTTGTATGCTAAAGAAACAGAAACATTTTGTCTTGGAGAAATGAAGCTTTCCTTTTTTAAATCTCCTTTTTACTTCAAATTTATATCCCAGTGTTTTGCCTTAATGGATTCTTGAAATAGTTTTTTATCACTTAAAACAAAGGTATACATTTACAGTTGGATTAAAATAGTAATTCATAAAAGAAAACCAGTAGCAGTCATTTAAGAAAACATTGGAGACCACGCTAGAAACTATTAACATTGTGGAATGATTAAAGAAAAGAGTAAATGCAACTGTTGAGAGGTCCCCAACCTCCGGTCCATGGACCAGTACCAGTCCATGGCATGCCAGCAACCGGTCCGCACAAACAAGGAGAGCCCCATCCACAGGATGCAGACAGCACACAAAACCACACCCCCTCCAGTCCGCGGAAAAACCTCTCTCCATGTAACCCAGTGGTTCTCAACCTGTGGGTCGGGACCCCATTTGGGGTCAAATGACCATTTCACGGGGGTCGCCAAACCACGCTGTCCGCCATTTTTTTCCCTTTTCCCTAGCTATCCTACTCCCTCTTATTGGTGGCCACACCCACTTGGGGGTCACCACCACATGGGGAACTGTATTATGGGGTCACGGCATTAGAAAGGTTGAGAACCACTGATGTAACCGGTCCCTGGTACCCAGAAGGTTGGGGACCTCTGATCTATACTACTGTTAAACATTTAGGTAGCCAAAAGCAATTGACTTAATATCTGACAAGAAAAACATATAGAGCAGGGCTATTTTTATTGTCCTAACTACACAATTAATGATTTTTTGATATAGTTTTAAAAGAAAATACACAGTTATTAATATACATGTGCACAAACTATATAATAATAGAGTATAGTTGGCTATAGAATGACTTGTACTTGGAGGAGTCCAAATGACCCAGCAGTCCCAGAAGAAAAAAATAAGAGTTATCTACAACATACAATGTAAAGACTGCAACAGCCACAGCATAGGAGAAACAGGCAGAAGACTAGCAGAATGCATCCATGAATACCAACTAGCAGTCAGAAAACACGATGAAAACTCTTTAATTTCATAAGATATGACAGACTTAACCATAATTTCAACTCGGAAGCTGTGTCTATCCTGGTCCAAAAACACTAGAAGCCTAGCTAATTGGCCAGCAACAGACACACAGACATAAACAACATCTACATACTGTGCAAAGAGACAATCAGCAAGCCAAAAAGGAAACAAAAAGACCAAACACCTTTCCACCTTCAATCAACACCCAGATGAGCATAGATTAACACCAAGATTAACATCAAACCAATAACCAAGAAGTAAACAATACCGCAATGAAGGAACTGCCAAACAAGCTAACAGTAAATACTCCAACCAAAGAACCACCAAGACCCCTTCCACCAATGCTGATTGGCCAAACAATTAGCATATAAAATGAGAGCAAACCACACTCCTTACTAGCATGTTACTTAGTTTGGAGAAGAAAATATATGCAAGAAACAGGCTTAGAGGGCACCAAGGACCAACCCTGGGCTACAAATATTCTCCTTTATCAGATTGTACTTTATTTTATTTATCAAATTTATTTGCCGATCATTTGTTTGTAATGTTTGCCACAATTTGTCATAATCTCAAATGAGTGAAAATTTCATTTGATGCATAAAAATGCAAATATTGTGCAATTTTTAAAATATAAGGCTGTTATAAGACTATGTTGTTATTTCATGGGTCCACAGTGGTTTCTTTTTAATTATCACAACATAATGGTGGAGTTCTTATAGCCTCAGATATTCCTAGGTAATTCACTAGTCCCAAAACTTTAAAACATTTAATTAAAAAGTTAAAATATGCTGCTTAAGCCAGTGGAAAGTATAGATAATGATGAGCTAGGAAACTGCCCTGCTGTTTTCCTTAACTTTATTAACATAGGAATTTGTGGACAGAAGTAATTTAAAGTAGACAGAATAAATTAGTGCACCGTAAGGATAATTTTATCCTGCCCGTATGTTTGGTTTATTGAATCTAGCAGTTCTTTTCACATGTCTCTATTTCCTGTATTAATGTATTTTCTTCTTAGGACTGACTGCAGGTAGTCCTTGACTTGCGACCACAATTGAGCCCAACATTTCTGTTAAGTGAGACATTTGTTAAGTGATTTTTGCCCCATTTTACGACTTTTCTTGCTTCAATTGTTAAGTGAGTCACTGAAATTGATAAGTTAGTAACCTGTTTGTTAAGTGAATCTGGCTTCCCCATTGACTTTGCCTGTTAGAAGGTCACAAACTGTGATCATATGACATGGGCACAGTAACGGTCAAAAATATGAACCAGTTGCCAACCATCTGGATTTTGATCACATGATCATGGGGATGCTGTAAAAGTCCTAACTGTGAAAAACGGTCATCAGTCAGTTTTCTCAGTGTCGCTGTAACTTTGAACGGTCACTAAATGAACTGTTGTAAGTCGAGGACTACTTGTATTAACTTTCCATTTTACTCTCTGCACTTCTTTGGAGTAGGGTCATCTCTACAACAGGGATGAGCAACTATGGCCCCTTTATAGCCTATGGGGTTCAACTCCCAGAATTCCTGAGCATGGCCCACGCAGGAATTCTGGGAGTTGAAGCCCACAAGGGGCCACAGATGCTGCTCCCTGCTCTACAAGCTACTTTGTCCACAAGCGGCTTTCTTGCTTTGTCTTCTTTTTTTAAAAAGTTGGGATTTGATATTTTCCTGAACATTGACATTCTTTTTTAAGGGTGAAAATAAACATAATGGGACTTCTTCTGTGGAACCTGAGAGATTTAACAGAAATTCAATATCTCAGGAATCAATCAATAATATTGAGCCATCAATCCTCCTTGCAGCTCCAAAGGTTTTTATTGGTTTATATTTCTATTACAATAACATTTGTCTTATGTAAAGGCTTTTTCAGAATGAAAGTTGAATTGAGATACACTAAATGTTTCTTTGAATCAGTTGTAGTCATTTCTAAGAAGTGCCGTTCTGTAAATCTAGATGGGAAGAATGTTTCTACAGGTAGTCTTCCAGGTGTGGACAGGTTTGTTCATATTGGCAAAAGTTTGCAACTTGAAAAGTTCATTAGTAGAATAATGCCAGTATTGTTGGATAAGGTAAGAGGTAGCCTCATTTCTTTAAAATGTAAAATTATGTTTATAAATTAATGTTTTTTTTAAAAAGGAAATGTTTTATCACAGTGGTTCTCAACCTTTTTAATGCTGCGACCCCCAACCGGTCGTAAGTCGAGGACTACTCAACCGGTTGTAAGTCGAGGACTACTCAACTGGTGCAGCACCGTTTGCAGAATGGGACTTTTGGCGGGCTCAGCAGGGCAGAGAATAAAAGAGAGTAGCACAGCTAAGGAAAAGGGGAAAAAAATGGCAGACTGCGTTGTTTGGTGACCCCCGTGAAATGGTCGTTCGACCCCAAATGGGGTCCCGACCCACAGGTTGAGAACCACTGTTTTTCAGATCTAGCACCTTCTTTTGTCTGTTTATCTGTTTATCTGCCTGCCTGCCTGCCTCTCTCTCTCTCTCCTTCCCCCCCTCCCTCCCTCACACATGCACACACACACACACACCCCTTCTATCCGCTACTAGACATCTGTTTTGATGTTTTGTGTAGGACTTCAGAAATGAATCTGAAGAAGAACTTGTTGATGAGCCCGTCTTGGAAGAGCTTGCTGATGACCCAAACCTGGATTTGGGGAGACAGTTTCAACTTATGCAGAGCGAAACAGACGTTGATAAGGAATCCTGGGAAATGCATGAGATTCTGAAGCACATAGAAGAACGTCTTGGTGAAGAACGAGAGATGTTAGTGGATGAAGTGTATGATATGGATCAGGATTATGAAAAGTGTCCATTAGCAGATATAAGAGAAATATCTTCCTCTCCTGTGATGGACTTTGAATCTGCAGGACAGTGGGCTGAAGAATTAGACTGTGCTAAAATGGTGGAACCGAATCCTGCAAACAATCTTAATACTGAAGAGGTATTTAGTGATATATATATATGTATGTAAAGTAAAGAATAAATGAATGATATTGTAACATCATATATTCAGTGCAATTATTACTATTTCTTAACTATAGTGCTTTAAAATTCAGTAGCTAAATAGTCTGAAGATCATTAAGAATATTCAGGTGCTTTCTTTAGATACCATTAGCATAATACTTAAAGAATCCATAACAGATTTTGGAAAACAGGGTTTAATTAATGATATGCCAGTTTTTAAAACCCAGCTTCTATTAAACTCATCTTTGTTTCTGGTAGCATAGGGCTGAGCTAATGTCTTTCAATTCTGTATTGCCTTTATTTTTCTACTGAAGAATGAAGAAAAGAGTACTAATCGTTCACTCTTCCATGGTGTTTCAGTGGAGTACAGCCAAGGAACTCCTATGCTGGATGGTAAGTGAAATGAGCAAGTATTCAGAATAAATAAATATATTTCTGAGCCAAAATTATCTATGAAAGATCAAGACCAGGTGGGACTTTAGTGGTTGAAAGGGGCTACTATTAAAAAGTGGGTCTCAAAAAAAATCTAAAACATTTCAGAATTTGGGTGTATTATATGTATATGAATGTGTCATTGTGGAGAAAACTTGAATCTGCATGGGTCCCAACTGACGATCTATCACATGGACAGAGAAAGCTTTTCCCCAAATTATAGTTACCTATAAGACAGATGTGATTGAGGTATATATATATGTATGTATGTATATATATATATATATATATATATATATATATATATATATATATATATATATATATATATATTTTAAATAACCCATCCAAGAACAGGTTATGCAGAAAAAAAAGATCCACAAATATTCCCAAATATTATAACTGTTCAAACAGGGCTGGGGGTTGGGAGTATATCCCATCCAATTACCTTCATTTTGGAAAAAGAAAATATTCAACTACAATGTTTCTGTTTATTAGTATTTAGCTTCAGTTTACCACCATTTAAACATTTATTTATGATCCCAGTTGTTTAGCATACATTTTTGAAGTCAGATTGTGTGTGCAATTCTCATTCTGTACACATCATCAAATCAATTATTTTAAGAATATTGAATTCTTGGTATAGTGGAAGAAGTACTAGAATTTGAAGGCATTCTGCCTATCTCTTTATGCTTTCTCTTGAAAAGTCTATAGGGCAGATGTACCTTGAATTTAATTGCAGACAAGTGCTGTTCTTTTCACAATGATTTTCTATGATTGTTGGATGGAGGAGAGCTGTTCAAGTGAGCAATGTTCCCTTTCAAACCACTTAACTGAATGTGCAAAGGCAGGCTGTATGTTGCATCCCATTCTCTTCTCAGTTTCAGTCCCTCATACTGTATATTCACATAAATACCTGAAAAGAGCTAATTATCATTGTGAACCGAATAGTCTTTTTTAGAAAAGGTTGTCTATTATTACTCTTACTCTTAAACAAGTGCATCTGAAAGCAGAGCATAATAATGAATCTTTTCTTCTAAGGTATTCCAAAGCAAGATGACCCTAAAGAACATCTATACACAGATGTTGATCGTGAGAGATGCAAAATGAAGAATGAAGATATTGATCCTTCCAGCTCCCAAGATTCTGCCCTACGTAGAGTAGTGCTGTCTAGGTATGAAGTGATGCTTAGCTAAAAATATGTCAGTAATTTTGATTTATCTGAAAAGAAATAAGAGGAAAAACTATTTTCTCTAACATTATGAGAAATCAGCAATAAGTTGTCAATAATTAGAATTTTAATATGTCATCATTATAACTTACTAAGTAGCTATTGGAGGCAATTGTAGGTATATTAATCTGTTAGAGTCAAAGGTGTTACAACATAAAATAGAGTTCTGTCAAGTCAAGCCCAAATTTATGTTGACCAAAATATGAAAGGATTTGCCATTTGTGTCGGGATTTTTTTTAACTTGTTAGTCTACAGCCTTGGGATGTCCTACTGGTTTCTCATCTAAATACCAACAGGCCTTTACTGTATAACTTTTTTTTAACCTCATGCAACATTGGCTAGATTAGCGTTTCTCAACCTTAGCAACTTTAGGACATGTGGGCTTCAACTCCCAGAATTCTCCAGCTTGCATGGGAATCCTTCAGCTAATTTTGTATTTTTCTTCTACTTCTTATGGCTAATGATGGCAGTGATGATCAGGATGATAGACTCTTCTTGTCTAGCTACACACTGAAACGTATCAACTTCACTCACAAAATGATTACTTTCCTTTCTGTAGAGATACATCGTATACTTAATTAAGAGAATAATTGCAGAAATTGTGTCTAATAATGTGGTCCATTTTCATTAACGTTTGCAGAAAGGCAGAGAAACTTGTAGATTCTTGGGAATTTAATTTTGTTAATTACAAAGAATGGGACACACACATATAAATGTTGCATATTGTATCAATTTTCTTTAGTGAACTGCCTGAAAGAGAAGAAGGAGAAGGAGAAGAAACTCCAATTTTCAGTCACTGGGGATCACCCCAAATGTATGTTGATAAGTATTTCAATATTTATTTTGCCTTGATAATAATTTGAGGTGCTGATCATTAATTATGAGTATGCCTTTCCTTTTTAATCTCTTGCTGGAGGCACTTTGCTTGATCATGGGGTATTTTATACCGTCTGGGAAGAACAGTGTGACAATAGTTCCTTATAAGATGCTGAAGACAGAATTAATATTTATCAGATATTCTGCTGAACGGTCATATCGGTTCCATTGATTTTTATATAATTATTTTGGAAATTATGGAAAGTTTGAAACAAACATACAGTGTTTGGGACATTGAGCTCTGGTCCATCATATCTGAAATTTGGCATGTTTTAATTGTTTCCAATCTCAGCAAAAACAAAATTTGGAGGGTTCTTACTGGGTGAATAGGATCATATTGATACAGCTCACCCTTCTTTTCTTCCTTTACATGATCAGGATACTGGCACGCTCCCTGATTTTCCCAGTAGCTTCCTTTCTTTACTGCTTCTTAGATCTTGTTTGGAGCCAAGCAAATAGGTAGCAGCTAACGGGAGGTAGGAAGAGGGATGTACTAATGGAGAATAGTTGGATGTGTGGTACTTCAACTCAAGAACAATGGAGGTAACAGCTGTGCAACCAGCTAGCCCATCCCTGATTTTCCCAGTACCTTTCTTTTTCTGCCTTGATTTTATGCACAGCATATCTATCTGGCCCATTGACCCTCAATCTTTCCTGAGCTACCCAGTATCCATAGCTTTTTTCTATTCTTCCCTAAGTTATTTAAAGTTAGTTGAAATTTTATTGGTAAACTTTAAAATATGTATGCTAAGAGGGAGTTAAAAAAAAGATGCATTAGAATGTTTTGATTTAAAAATGTTTTTTTAAAGAAAAGCTTAGTGTTTTAAAAAGGATGGAAAAAAATGTTTTTCCCTTTAAAGTTGAAAGAATCTGAAAGAATACAGTGAATTTCGTTAATATAAACAGAGATAGTTTATAATGATTAGTAAGTGCAAATAGAAATACATATTATTTCAACAGCAAGGAAGATAAAGCAGTAATGCTTACGTTGATTGTTCTATTCAAAGAGGAGAATATATTTAGGTTATTTTTCTCTTTGGATAATATCACTTCTGGATTTTGTGCTTGTGAAGAAAAAATAAATAAAACTTTGACTTTGGTTTTGCCGATTAGATAGATTCGTTGTTATAGAAATGGCTAGTTACATACTAATATGTAAAAGTAAAAAGTTTAGATTGTAATATTGTTACCTTGTACTGTGCTAAAAGGATTCAGAAATCAATGCCTTTTTCTTCCCTTGTACCTCATATTTTCTTTCCCCTATCTTTTTTTCTTCCCTTAATTACCTATTTTTATTTCTCTTTGCATTTTATACATTGATAAAACAAAAGTTATATATATAAAAAGCTTGAGAAAGGAAAGCGCCTCCAATCTATATTACAGCAGTACAAATCTTAAGTTTGAGTACTTTCTAGTGAAGTCCAAGAGCTGTAGCTCTTGCTGAGAAAATATTGGTGAATTTGGGGTTATTTCTTCATAAACAGCTTGTAGAATGCTCATTTCCTTTTATTTTATTATAACATTTATATCTTGTAATGTAAGTATATACTTGAACTGAAATCTAAAAGAAATAATTAAGGAAGCTAAATGTATTTATCCAGTCATTATAATGTGATTTTCCTGACTGTACGTAGAATTGATGCATAACACATAAGATACAAGCATCACTTTTCCACAAGAGTACAATTCTTGAAATTCACACAATGAAAATGGCATGTTTCATTTTAAAAGGGATAGATTACATGAGGCTGGGTGACACTCGATGTTCTGTAGACTGAATTAATTAATGTATTGAAGAGCATGGACTACAGCAGGGGTGTCAAACTGCCGGCCCGCGTGCCGGACGCATCATCCCAAAACCACGCCCACCCCATTGACATTGCGAGTTTGACATGCCTGGACTACAGTGAAGAAAATTAGCATTAAAAGCAGGCATAGAGATCAGATTTATGACTTACTTTTATTTTCTTGAAACTCTAAAACAGACATGTCAAACACAAGGCCCGGGGGCCGGATGCGGCCCGCGAAGTGGTTTCATGTGGCCCGTGAAGCCATCCTGGAAACAGTGAGGGAACGGCCTCCTCCGTCTTGGCCCTAGTCCAGGCCAGCCGGGAGCCAATGTACAATATTATGGTGGCTATCTATGCTGAAACATATTCAGTCTTATCTCCATAAGCCCCCTACCCTGCATGGCCTGAGAGGAACAGTGAGGCTCCTCCAGTGGACCATGCCTTGGCACGTGCCCTGGTCCCACCCCCTTCTTCCAGAGACCTTCAGATCTGTCCCACTCCTGCCCAGGTTCCCACAGGCACCCTTGATGCGAACTATGTAGAATAGGCCACACCCACTCCATCCACACCCACCCAGTAGGCCGCACCCACCCTGGCCATACCCACCCAGCCCCTGAGGGCAACCGCAATGCTTATGCGACCCTCAGTGAAATTGAGTTTGACACCCCTGCTCTAAAGGGATTGTATTTTAAAATGGAATTAATTCAGGGAAGATGGAAATGAAGGACCCAGGTATCATGCAATCTGCAGCTGTGGTCCCCTCACATTTTGGTCTACCTTACAACAAACCAGAAGCTTTGGATTTCTATAAGGTCACAGATTTTAGCAAAAATCATGAAGCTCCAACTTCTTGTATTCAGAGCGTTCTTTCTCCATACAGAATTGAAATTTTTCGGGAGCCCCACGTACCTCTTGGCATCAGTATTGTTGGTGGACATACAGTTATAAAACGCCTGAAGAATGGAGAAGAGCTTAAAGGAATATTTATCAAGCAGGTTTTGGAAGACAGCCCAGCAGGAAGAATGAAAGCTCTCAAAACAGGAGATAAAATACTTGAAGTAAGTTCAGACTTCCACTTTATAAAGACTGTAGCTGCTTGAACAGGCTCGTTTTTTAGAGAGATTCTATGGACTACAAATTACAGATTTAGTAAATAGTAAATATTTACAGCTTAACTTTAACCACTTATCTTATGTGTGAATAGAAAATAATGATCATGTAAGATGTAATTGTGGGTATTTGAATTTACTGTTTTTTTTGGGGGGGGAGTGGGCTGGCCCTGAGAACTGCAGATGCTGCTTATCTACATGAGAAGAGATTAATAAGTCCTACTAGAAACACATGCATGAATAAAGAATTTTTCTTTTTGACTTATTGATGACAAGGAGACTAAGAAGTGAGCTCACTATTCATGAGAAATTTCTCTTTGGGGAAGGGTTCCTGAAAAGGAGCTTATTTCTCCATCAGTTATCAGGATTTGCTCTGTAGAGTAGTGCAGTCAAGAGGAAAGCATTTTAAGGCCAAAACAGTCAGAGAATAACAAGAAATACTAGTGCTGTCTAAACACATACGGTATCAGGAAACCAAATACAGGTAGTCCTCGACTTACAGCAGTTCATTTAGTGACCGTTCAAAGTTACAATGTCACGAAAAAAGTGACTTAATGACCATTTTTCCCACTTACAACCATTGTGGCATCCCCAGGGTCACTTAATCAAAATTCAGACAACTGACTCATAGTTATGACAGTTGCAGTATCCCAGGGTCATGTGATCCCCTTTTGCGAACTTCTGACAACCAAAGTCAATGGAAAAGCCAGATTCACTTAACAACCGTATTATTAACTTAACAACTGCAATGATTCACTTAACAGTAGCAAGAAATGTTGTAAAATGGGGCAAAATTCACTTAACAAATGCTTCACTTAGCAACATAAATTTTGGGCACGATTCTGGTCGTGAGTCGGGGACTACCTCTAGGCATGAAAATAAAGCAAAATGCTCAGCTTGAAAGAGAAGTTTGAGAACAGCTCATTAAGGAAAAGAAGTTCAACATACTGTTTAATTTGGCCTTGAGTTGAGTGCATAAACCTAATGTTATAAAAAAGTTCAGTTTTTTATTGATCTAATTGAAGCATTGCTAAATGTCATTGCTATTGATTAGATATTGTGTTGATGTTATGAGTACCATTTTAATCATGGGACTACATCTGTTATATTAGTAAAGCTCTTTGTAGATGTTATTCGGGTCTTTCAGCTGACAGATCTTTTTCCAGGATTTGGATCAGAAGAAGTAAATCTAAATGATCTCATTTCTCTGCAGGTATCTGGAACAGACCTACAAAATGCTACTCATGAAGAAGCTGTGGAAGCTATCAAAAATGCAGGCAACCCCATTGTTTTTGTCGTGCAAAGTCTGTCAACTCTTCCAAGAGTAATCATCTCCACATATTTATTTTCTAAAATTTTGATAGAGAATGGATTTCAAATTGTGGGAGAGAAAAAAAGATGGGGATCAGTTTATATCTAGCAACTCTATTTTTTTAGAAATAGAGTTTGCGTTCTTTTCATTTTTTTCTTTCTCTTCATTTTGATTCATTCATGCATTTTTTTCCATTCATTTGTTTTCTTGTAGATAATTTCAGTAATAAACCCTAAGAAAAAGGAAATCGAAGAGAATCAGGATACAGAAGAAACCGAAAAGGTAGCTCCAGTCTTTTCGTTTTCCAAAACCAGATTCATAAAATAAGTTATCATTTTAAAATACTCCAAGATTTGTTTAAATGGCAGATAATACGGTGTTTCCCTGAAAATAAGACCCAGCTGGAAAATAAGCCCTAGCATGGTTTTTCAGGATGCTCGTAATAGAAGCCCCACCCCAAAAATAAGCCCCAGTTAAGATTGTCAACCAGACAGACGCATTTAGTACTATATTTCCCTGAATATAAGCAAAATGGCTCATCTCATCATCTCTCAGCAGTCAAACTCATGGAAAACTGATGGCCTATATCTTCTTGCACAGAGCAGCCATCCAGAGAACATGTGGGTGATTCTCCTTCTCCAGAGAAGTTGCCAGGAATCAGTCTATACACAAGTTCCTTGGTCTTTGCTGCATTCATTGGTTCTGCTTTTGCAGAGCAATCCATCTTCAGTTCACCAGTCCCAAAAGTAAAAACAAATTGGGAAGTAACATGGCTCACAATATAATTGATTGATTGTTGATAGATAATCACTTTTCTTCAGCAAGGCTATTTACATGAAGATCTCTCTTGATTCTCCATAAGACAATTCATGTAGCCTAGGACGAACCTTTAGAGCTCATGGTTTTCCTTAAAAAAATATGGAAACTATTACTTTCATGGTGTATGAAACGAAAAGTGCTTGCTGTTCGAATGAATGTGTCTAGCTTTGTATGACTAATTGGGAACAGGGATGATTTAAACAGACACATTTCATTTTTCTGTCCTCTCTTTTTCTGTAATTTTAATAATTTTGCCTGATGCGGTGTTCTTGGGGATTTCAGAGCTTGCACGCTAGTTTATAAATCTTGAGCTGTACTAATAAATGTACTGCTGTAATATGGATTGGAGAGCTCTCCTTTCTCAAGCTTTTTTTTTTAAAAAAATAGTTTGAATAGTTTAAACTTGGTCGAAATGATTAGAAAACCATTTCTGATTTTAAAAGCAATGTGCATTGATGGATGAAAATAAATGACATGTTTGAAATTGCTAGTATCCCACAGGTAGTCCTTGACTAACATCCACAACTGAGCCCACAATTTCTGTTGCTAAGACACTTGTTAAGTGAGTTTTGCCTCACTTTACAACCTTTCTGGCCACTGTCGTTGAGTGAATTGCTTCAATTGTTATTTGTCTGAAGTGGTATAGGGTTTTCTGCTTGAGCAGGGGGTTGGACTAGAAGATCTCCAAGGTCCTTTCCAACTCTGTTATTTTCTTATGTACATGTAGTCCTCAACTTACAACCACAACTAAGTCTAAAATTTCTGTTGTTAAGCAAGACAGTTGTAAAGTGAGCTTTGTGCCATTTTACAACCCTTCTTGTCACAGTTGTTGTTAAGTTAGTAACATAGTTGTTAAGTGAATCTGGTTTGTCCCATTGACTTTGCTTGTTAGAAGATCACAAAAGGTGATCATATGACCCCGGGACAATGTGACCGTCATAAATATGACCCAGTTGCCAAGCGACGGAATTTTTGTCACATGGGGATGCTGCAATGGTCATAAATCTGAAAATGATCATAAATCCCTTTTTTCAGTGTCATTGAAACCTCAAGCAGTCACTAAATGAATGGATGTAAGTCCAGGACTACCTGTATTTAAAGGAGTACTCTTCAGCAGAGAGCATTTATCTTTCACATTTCTGGCTGTAGGATCAATAGCAGTATTTTTCCACTCTACGTTTCTCTGAGGTAAACCATAGAGTTTCACATTGATGCCTCCAAACTCTAGTTTGCTGCAAGCAGAATGAGCAATACAAGACATTTTATGAGAACGGTCCATTAATAGCGAAATGCAGCTTTTTTTGTGTGTATCTATATGTTTACACCTAGAGAAACAGAATACCATTCTTCCAAGACCTATAAGTCCTTTGGAGGACCTATTTTTTTTAAGAACATGAGAATCTTGCTCTCTCTACCTCCTACAGAAGGAAATCTGGGAGAAACCAGAGAGTCTAGCAACACCTGCTACTTACCGAGAACTGCAAGTTGGAAAATTGAGGCAAAAGTGCCAGGGAACAAACCTTGCCTGGCTATCCTTCATTCAAAAACATTGACAAATATAAATCTGGACTTTGGCTTCTAATTTACTTTTGTTTTCTACTGTTTGTCTTACTCCATTTCACCTTGAACTGCCTTCTGATCATGTTCTTTGAAACTATGTTTGCAAACAATTCAGCCACTCCAATAGCAAGACAGCTTTGGTTATGCAAAATCTGCTGACTGTACCTTAATCCATTGCACGATTTTCATTTGGGTTGCTCCAATTGAGACTTTTAAGAAGCTTCCTCCTTGTCTAATCCATTCTTCTCAAGATGATCATCCAGATGTCCTAGTGGGGCCAAGGAAAAGTATTCATACAATTCTCTGATTTTTCTTTCTCTTTACAATTATAGCTTTTTGTCTGCCAGACATATTTGTCAGTTGATTAATTTTTGACCACAGTTGAGCTCAAAATTTCTGTTGCTAAGTGAGACAGTTGTTTAGTGAGTTTTGCCCCATTTGATGACCTTTCTTGTCACAGTTGTTAAGCAAATCAGTGCAGTTGTTAAATTACTAACATGGTTGTTAAGTGAATTGGACTTCCCCATTGACTTTGCTTGTCAGAAGGTCATAAAAGACGATCACATGACTCTGGGACACTTTAACCATCATAAATATAAATCAGTTGCCAAGCATCTTGAGTTTTGATCACGTGACCAGGGGGATACTGTAATGGCCTTAAGTAAGAAAAATGGTCATAAATTACATTTTTCAGTGTCATCGTAATTTCAAACAGTCACTGAACAAAAGATTGTAAGTCGAGAACTAACTGTACTTGTATTCTTAAGTGCTAGAAGTTGGAACTCAACCGTTACTGCCTGTGGAAAGGTTTATCTGGAGACTTTGTTTGATGCCTCTTGTAGAGAACTTCCTTTTTTGCAGTGGCTCAGTGATTAAAGATGCTTAGCTTGTCGGTTGGAAAGCTGACAGCCCGGTTTTGAGACCCAAGCACTGCACAACATGATGAGATCCCATTACTTGCCCTAGTTCCTGCCCTAGCAGTTTGAAAGCATGTAAATGCAAGTAGATTAATAGGTACCACTTTGGTGGGAAGGTAACAGCGTTCCATGTGCCTTTGATGTATAGCCATGCTAACCACATGACAATGGAAAATGTCTTTGGACAATACTGTCTCCTTTGGCCAAGAAAAGGAGATGAGCAATGCGCCTTAGAATTGGACACGGGAAACTTTTACCTTAAATGATTATGTGGATTTCCTCAAGTTGAAGGTATAGGTTTTGAGCTCTAGAACAGTGATAGCGAACCTTTTAGAGATCGAGTGCCCAGAAACTGGCCCCACCCCCACTCCACCTCTTGCCCCACCCCATCCCCCACCCCGCCTGCCCGCAGGGCTACTCACCTCCTCCAGGGCCCACCACAGATCACCCAGGCAGCCCAGCAGCGCCATGGCAGCCAACTGTGTGGGATGGGGCGTGAGGGCAGAGTCTTGTCTATGCTGCCTGGCTGCCATGTGCTTGGCTGTGTCGCTCGGGGGCAACTCTCCAGAGGGGCTGCTGGTGAGGAGGGGGTTGTGGGGGGAGGCAAGGCTGGGGCAACAGCATGTGTGCCCATAGAGACGGCTCCAAGTGCCGCCTCTGGCACGCATGCCATAGGTTCGCCACCACTGCTCTGAAATGTCCCCCCCCCCTTTTTTTTTTTTTTGCTTTAATGCAGATATTGTGATGTCATTACAATAAGCTTCTTCTTACATCAGGAAGAAAGTTTATCACCCTGGAAGCAATTTACTATGTGGTTTTGCAGGGAGATTCTTCCCAAGGCACATGTGCACAGTCAGCCATTAATGGTATAAACATGCCTGTGTAGACTGACTCCTGGAGCTCTGCTGTTGAGACTGTCTGTACTGGGAGCCTCCATGAAGAAATTATTTATTTGTGTGCTTGTTGAAGAAATACCATTTGTCACTGATCTGGCTATATCATGTCTCTGAAATAATGCAGACCACCAGCTAGTTTTAAGAGCCATTTCATTGTGAAGATAGTACTCAACAGATTTTCCCCGTGAATAAAACTTGAATACCGCCCTGCATGAGCCCCTGGGCAGAGATTGTAGTGCTAAATTATGCAGTACTTCAGCATTCACAACACGGAGAAGTAGTTGTATGGGTAATGGTTTCTGTACTACGTGTATGATTCTGTCCCTGAGGTACTAATAGTGCAAAAGGGTGTTAAGTTCGAAAGCTAATGGAATACATGACTTCTGGAAGTAGTGATATCAAATATAAATAGGAAGTAATCTTCCCCCACCATATTCCAGATAATGTTGGATTTGAAATCTCTTTCAGCTGGAGAATGACAAATAGGGAAAATGTCATTAAAAGGGTGGTCCAGTGCATTATTCAGTTGATAGAAGTTCATAGAATTATGTTCTGTCTGGTTATCTCCATAGGGTAAGGTAAAATATTGATTAAGGATGAATGAAAAGATAGACAACATTTCCTAGAAGGAAGCTGAGTCAGGAACAGAATTAATTTTTCTTCTAGACTCGGCAGACCGGATTTAGTGGATTCAGTGGATTTAAACAACACTTCCTATTCAGAGAAAGGCAGCATAAAATAATCATCTTCATAGTGCATATGAAAATACTATTCAGAGAAAGGTTAAAGTGAGAAAAAAAACAGAGCTGCATCCAAATTGAGTGGGTTGACTCATTGCCATTTAATTTTTATTGTCCTCAGTAGCAGCTGTTGCCACAGCAAGCAGCAACACAAAGCTGAACAGGGTTAGATCTGGTTAGCATTTAGATGGGAAACCACAAGAAAATTGCAGCAGGACATTAGTCTGGGAAGCAAAATAACAGCCAAGACAAAATTGGTTATATATGGTTTGTTCATATATTGTAATCAATAGAAAGCTGGCTGGCTGACTTTGGTCAACCACTCTCTTTCAGCCAACCTGCCTCACAGGGTGGTGGTTGTGGAAAAACAAGAGAAGGAAGGATTATGTTTGTTGCTGCCTTGAGTTATTTGTAAAATAATAATAAAGTTATAAATAAATAACTATGTTTGAATTCAGTGTGGTAGAGGTTTTAACTTTAACTTTAGCATTCATTAACCCACATGATCTGTTGCTTTTCAACTCCTAAACTTGGTGTTAATTTGGATAGAGTGCAAAATGGTTTTCCCGGCTATCTAAATTGTGGAAGCTTGTTTTTATTCTCTTTATTTTGCTACTATTTTTGTCTTAACTACAAAAACTAAATTTATTAGTTAACTAAATTTATTAGTTAACTAAATTTATTCTATCCTGATTGGCAATCGCTTTCAGTTGGAACTGTCTTCCTTTTTATTGCCTCTTGTGATTTTTCATTTTATTTCCATCCCACATTCAAATAGCCTGCCTTTTCAATAAATGTCAATGGTTTACTGTAGTATTACAGAAAAAAATCTTTCTAAAAATGACATGTGAAATCATGATTCTCTGCCGTATATAGCAGCATTTTTCAAGCCATTTGTATGGGTCCTGTGACATTTGGCAGTCGCTGTTTGTTTACTAAAATGCATTTGCTTTTAGCGATGTGATCATAGTTGAGCTCACTCAGCCCTACAGGATAGCTCACAAAAGATTCGAGCCTGAGAAACAGATGCTTGGTTGGGTCTACTGGAGTCCTCCAGTTCTCCTTCTGTAGGGTGATATGTATCACTACATGCACCATTATCGAAAATGCCTTTATTTATGCGAGGTAATGAGATTTTATTGTGAGTTTTATGATACATCACTAGTTAACCAGAGGTAATATTGAAAATTGCGTAGCCTGTAATGTTTGATGGAGCTTTATAAGCTGGTATGTTTTTTTTTTTCCCTGTAAGTGCCTCGAAAGCTGTAGATTTGTTTTATGAAGCATTCTGGTCCTTGGTGAAAATTGTATTTTTACATTTATGTTGTCAGTTAAGCGCTGTATTATCTTCGTTGCTTTTGGTATAAGGAAACATTAACATCCTAGCATTCCTTGCTTTTAATGAGCTAATATAAAATCACTCTTCTTTTTTTTTTTTTGATGTGGGGGAACAAAAAGTGAGATTTATTCGAAAGAAACCCAAAGTCTATGAAACTGGAAGCTTCTTTTGAAAGTAGCATTTATAAACTACACATATATAATGGTTTCCTTATCAGAACAATCTGAAATTTCTAGGCATAATATGAAAGGCTTTTTTTTTTCTTTTTAGAAGAAAAGTGGGATTCTACCACCCATGAAATTGCCACCACCTTACAAAGGAGCAAGAAAGTCCAGCTTGGGTGATCCAGAAGAAGAAGAGGATGAAGAGGAAGAAAATGCTTTTACAGAGGGTAAATTATGAAGTATTATTAGTATTGAATTGCTACCTTCAGAATTCTTCTTTGGGGATCTTACCTAAGGAAAAGTTGCTTATGGTCACCATATTTATTGCCAGAATAATTGCCAGAATATTTTGAATTCCAACGGGAAAGAATGCTGGAAAAGACTAGAGAAATAAAAGGAAGTACATTTTCCTACATCGTCCCTTGTTAAACTATCCCCCAAAATCTAGAGAAATATTAAAATTGAATGGGGAAAAAGTTCCTTAATGCCAACACCATAATATTCTAGACCCTTTTTTTTTTAAGGAAATGTGGACAAAATTTAGTTAAGGTAGAGATCATGAATATGCCACTTGTCAGTTAACTGTTTAACTAGCATAACCAGTATTGAGGGTAATAATTCCAAGGTTCTCTGACCATAATCATTTTTACATGTGACTCATCTGGAAATTTCATGATTGTATTTTATATACGATGTAAATATGTTGTATATAATATTTATATATCCCATACAAATATGTAAATGAAATATTTATTTTATGTGTTTATGAGGATAGTAGTTTCTCAAGGTCATGTGATCACTATTTGTAACCCTCCTGGTTAGCTTACGACAATCTGGGACAAATCAGATTCATTTAACAACCATGCCACTAACTTAACAACAACTGTGGCAAGAAGGGTTGCAAAATGGCACAAAGCTCGCTTTGAAACTGTCTTGCTTAGCAGCAGAAATTTTGGACTTAGTTGTGGTTGTAAGTTGAGGACTACATGTACATAAGAGAATAACAGAGTTGGAAGGGACCTTGGAGATCTTCTAGTCCAGTGGTTCTCAACCTGTGGGTCGGGACCCCATTTGGGGTCGAACGACCATTTCACGGGGGTCGCCAAACCACGCTGTCCGCCATTTTTTTCCCTTTTCCCTAGCTGTCCTACTCCCTCTTATTGGTGGCCACACCCACTTGGGGGTCACCACAACATGGGGAACTGTATTATGGGGTCACGGCATTAGAAAGGTTGAGAACCACTGTTCTAGTCCAACCCCCTACTCATGCCGAAGACTCTATACTTCAGACAAATGGTTGTCCAATCCCTTCCTAAAAACCTCCATTGATAGAGCACCCACAACTTCTGTAAGCAAGCCTTTCTATTGATAAGTTGTTCTAAGTGTCAGGAAATTTCTCGTTATTTTGGGTTGGTTCTCTCCTTGAGTTAATTTCCTTCTTCCTACACAGTCCTTTATTAAGCTACCAAGAGATCTGGAGAAGGCTACCCATCTGGATAGTTTTAAAACTAAATAAACTTAAAGGGCAACCTTTGTCAACTTTTTTCCCTGGAGAAATACTTGAAATAATTATCAGATCTCAGGGTACCCCTGCCTAAAAATCTCCAGAAACTATGAAGGTTTCACTATCCAGTTCCTGTCTAACCTACACAATCGAAATTGCATAACATTGGCAACAATGCCAAAGTGGCTGCTTGGCAGCTGAGTCGCAGCACATAATAACTGCTACCACTGCAAAAATAAACATTGCTTTTTAAACTTTGGGTACCGCAGCACTCTATGGTGCACAAAAGTTTAAAAAGCAGTGTTTCTTTCTTTATCTGTGATTTGGTCACAATTCCTCACGGAACCCCTAGCAATCTCTTGCAAAACCCTTGTGTAATTGAGAAGGCTGGTTATTGAGGATAAAACTGCAGTAGGTACTAGTAATCGTTGTATAATATTTCCAGTATCAAAAGCAGCATGTCTCTAATAGAAAGAATGTTGTAGGTCAGGGTAAACTGTGGGATTCTTGGTGCTTGAGCTTGGTTGTTTTCTTGCAGATGTTTCATTACCCATCTAGGTAACATCATCAGTGTCCTGATATGTACTGATCATGTTATCTACTTGGATAGTGAAACGTCTGCAAGAAAACAGTGCTCAGAGAGCATTAAATAACCCAAAGCATGTCTCTGAATATCACTTGCTTTTGTGGACTAGAGAGGAGTGACTCCGTCTGCCTTTAAGTGAAGTTATTTAAGGCACATGTTTACTCTTCATAGTTTATGTATCAATTTGCAGAGTAAACAGTCAAAGTCACAAAATAATGAATATGTTTCTGTATGCCTTTTCCCCTAATTTTCTGCCCAATTTTAATCAAAAGTTCATATTACAAAATTAAAACAACAGATTCGTTTCAGGAAAAATGCAAGCCAAATTAATTTGGCACTGCCAGCAAAAGGGTGGCATGGTTTCTTATTGGTCACAATAGGAATGCAGTGTTGGTTTTTAGTTTGATCCCGCATGGCTCTAAAGCTAAAATGCTGCCTTTCCAATAGATGTCACTGCAATCACTAGCAATGGTGTTAGATTTTCTTACTGTATCAGAAAGCATTTCAATCCATCAAACAAAATGACAATCAGAGAGCTTTTAATTTGGATGCTGAAACACGTCCTTTAATGTTTTTAAATCTTGTTCTGAAATTAGCTTTCCTACATGGTATTTCTTAAAAGGCTGCTATTAGACATCATCATGGGTGTCTGTGCACAGATTTTCTGCTTTGTACAGATTTTAAAACTATTGATTCAGTACTCAAATACTGAAAGTGTATTTCAGTGTTAGAAATGTACGGTAAGTGTAATAAGGTCTGAGAATGACTGCAACCAGTAATTTTTTTTTATTTTGGGGGGTCTGCTCTGCTAATGCATTGAACAGATGTTGCAGATGTGGCTCTATGCAGGCATATTACAAAAGATGATGCTTTCTAAATGGAAATAATGTTAAGTCCAGTGAGTAAATACTGACTAATCATATACACCAACTTTCTACTGAGCATTCTTGTGATTTTATTTGATTGCTGTATAAAATAAATAATTTTAAATATATTCTCACTGTTTATCGAAGGGGCATTAAATGGATTAGCATCTGCTTGGCAATGATAAGGATTTAAAGCAGAGAGTTTTCCTGAAGATATAAACATTATCCCACACTGCAGCATCTGATCAAGGGAAAACTAAAGGATAATACTTAGCCAGCTCTGCTGGGCTGGCAAGCACTCACTGATTATTAGAATCAGAAACAAGCATTTTATGTGTGTGTATGTGTGTGTGTGTGTGTGTGCCTGACCGGATGTTACAAACCATTTATCTACAATTAAGAATGGGCCATTAAGAATCAAATCAGCTAGGCTCACAATCAAGAAAAAGGGCAGTGTTGTTTTAAAATGATTTCTGTTTCAGAAGAAGGATGCTAGTTGAATCCTAGTGATTTCCAGCAAGGCAACAACAATACAGCAGCAGTAGCAACAGCACTAAAGCATCGGTGGGTCAGAGATGGGAGACCATGAATTTCTCTAGTTGTGCTTCCAGGCTCGCTGATGGATGTAACTCTTTGCTTGTGGGCAAGATTGAAATGAATTGTGATTGGTCACGTATCATAGTGGAAAGAAAAGTGACAGATTGCCCTTAAGGCGAGGGAAATCTCTCAAGCAGGCCCAAGGTCGTCAGAAGAAAGACGGAGCTCCGAATCTCTCTGTGTGTTGTGTGGTGAGGATTGGAGCTGTTCGCAGCATTTGAATGTTTGTGCGGAATGCAGATACCTAGAATTGTGTTCTAATGCAGCAATGGTGCAAGGGGGGTTCCCAGGTATGTATTAAAGCATCCACGAATGCATTCTATTTCTTTATTTTTTCTCATTGCCTGTTTTCAGCATCAGATGATGAGTGAAAATGAAACACGAACTGGATGTGGCATTCTTTCTCTTGCTTGAGTTATTTGCATGTCGAGGAAAGAGTTGATGGTTAGATGAATCCTGCTTTTAAGAAGGCACCAGCTAAGTTTAAGTTGGGAACCGTTAATGGAATGCACTGAATGGCTGTGAAACTGACAATATCAGAACTTAATTATTTTTAACGTTATTGGAACGCAGAAACAGATGTGGTTGCCTTACACTGAGTCTCAGAAGGCGATAGGTAAATGTTTAGCATGTGAAAAGAAGCTGCTGGTGAAATTTTGTTCAGCATTTTTATTCTGTAGGGACAGCAGAATGTAAGTGTCACAACATACAGTCCTAATGTTACTCTATTTCTTGATTGCTGTGAACTATAATAGAAAATCTAAATGTAAATCAAGTATTGGGGAAAAATTGTGCCTGTATATGTGTCTCTGTGTACATTCATATATACATAGAACACTCAAGCTATCGGATCTGACTTGCAACAATCCAGATGACCAACAGTTGTCAACAAAGAATTACAGTGTTCAATATTTCTTAGCAGCCCTCTGTTTTTTTGTTGTTGTTTTTTTGCTTTTTGATACTCTAATCCAAATGCACTCATTCATATATATATATCAGGAATATGAATCTGGTTAAAATCTTTAATTATTCATGATAGTGATTGTTTTCCTGGCATCTTTGTACTTTACATTCCGAGTTGGAAATGTAAAACTTTATAAGGCTCTAGACAAGTAGGAAATTAGGGCAAAGAATTTTTTTTAGCGAGGCTACCACTTTATAAAGGAAGAAAATTTAATAACATTTCGGAGACTCACAATACAGATGTAACAGGTGGTGAGATAACGTGTGTGAGCATAAATCTTATTTGGGAAGGGGTTTATATTATAGTACAGTGCTGTTATAATATAAAACTGACTTCCATTACTACATGCCATTGGTTGTTTTTAAATTGACGTTTGAGGCTCAAATAATGCCTTTAGAAATAATATTACCAAGCTGCAAATGGAATACAGTAATACCAGGCTCTAGCCAACAGCTGCAACATTCCAATAAGAATACTCACCATGCTGCTTCCTTAAATTGTATGGCTAAAATTCATTGTCTTCTTTCCTCTGTTGAAGAACATGATCAATAACTGTAGAAATTAGTAATCTGCTTTTTTATTTCAAAGCATCGTTAATATCTCCAGAAATTAGACCCACCCAGTACCACCACCACTGCAAAAGAAGGAAGTGTATTTCTCATTTCCAATATCATTTTATGATTCAGATGTAAATATATATTTGAAATAAA